AACTGTGAGCGCCGCAAGTTAAACATAAATTGAGGAAACAAAGAGAAACAAGAGTTTAATGTAAAAGATGATGGATCATCCTTCCTATATTCTCCAAATTTCGAACAAAGTCGAATGAGATTGCGATCTAACCACCGTGTAGCATCAAACCCCTCCTAAATGAAACGAAAAAGTGATAATTACCTAAAGAAACTATAGATCGATAGTGGATTTGAAAAAGAAATACAGCAACTGGTGCATATCTTAATAGAAGTCTTGTTAAATTACCTCCATCTCCATCTTCAGAGAAGTTATTCTTGCCATTACAACAGCTGCCGTCTCTTGATCAAAACCTTGTACTAATTCCTATATAGGACACATTATTCACAGTTAGAATAGATTAACCAAGACATAAATTGAGAGATTTTAAACTAACCTCTGTACTAAGAGCACTTTCCACCCATCGTCTCGTCACAGTTGTAACTCGAAGCATTGTTTTACCTTGGGGGTCTTGATAACTGCAATTAAGATACATAAGATCACAATCATATTATAGAATGAACAAAGTAGAATACAAATCAAACATATTTTATTTTAAGGAAAACAAAGAGGACCCTTTTGAGTAGCCCATGCTGCAAACCTTGTAAGAAACTGCAAATAGAGCTGTGAATTTGCAGCTCCTGGAGCATTTGATCGCTCAGTTGCTGAAATATCGAATAAGACCGACAAGCACGTACTCCTGTTGAGGCCACACATTTTCCATGTTGTAGTGTTCCCCTCCCCAATGATCGTGTCCGAGACATTAGTTCCTGTCTGCAGCACAAGTAGTAATCAGCTTAAATCCCGATAAATACTAGTAAATACAGTCTTCTGTTAAATGATTAAATGGTCCAACCTTCTCCAAAGATGTGCAAGGTCCAATGACCCCTTGAATTTTGATGTCTTTTGAACAGTTGACCTCAAGCATGCCACTAGAAAGGAAGGAAAAAAAATAGCTTATCGGGATTCGAACGGACTGGAAATTTAGACCTCAAGCAAAATAAGAAAAGGACATCAAGAACATACACTTGAAAGAGCTAACATTTCTAAAGGAAGTGAAGTTAAAAGGTTGAAGAAGAACAAGAACTAACTTAAAACATAGGCCAAGAGATTGTTCTCCATCCTTGAACATACACCTGAAAGAGCCTTTAAATACAGAATGACCAAAACTTTCAGCTAGAACAACAAGGCCACCAGTTCTTTCAACTGCAACTTTCATTTCAGCAACCCCAACCTGAGACGTTATGAAGATTACAGCATATAAAGCTGATACGTAACATCGGAGGAATCAACCGAGATCAGGCATAGCTACTGTTCTATGAACAAAAATGATTCTAAAAACAAATTAAACAACCAGAAAGGTGGCCAAAACAAACCTGATCAAGTGCAGATGCAAAAAGGTCCAGTACATGACCCTGGTTAACCAGCTGTTTCGCAAGACTATCGTAAAATCTGACTGCTTTCCTGAAATATGGTGCAGCATCCTTATCAAGATCTTTATGTGAACGTACAGGTTCCGATAAGTCCTTCGAAACAATCTGCAACAACCAAACAATCAATAACCAGAAAGAATCAGAGAGCTAAACAAAGTATTTAATGGCATTACCGTCCCCGGCCCTTCAGTGCATGGACCACCAACCAAAGCAATAATCCTAGCACCAGTTCCAGGCGTGCAGGCTCCAAGCAATCCCGTTGCAACACTTAAGGCGACTCCGGTACACCTCGACACCCTATTACCCGGTTGTACAGGCCACTGATCCGTTTGCAGCTCATCCAACATCTACATTAAAATCAATCAAACACTTGATAAACAATAAAAAATTCGCAATCGGAAGCAGGCAAGACAAACCGGTTAATGCCCGTATTTGAGTACCCATTTTGCATGCCTTTCGGATATCCAGCAGCTGTCCGCCGCCCGGCAGTACCAAGGCCCAACTGTTCCAACACTTGCTCCTTGGAAATCTCCTTATCACCTCTGAAAACATAGACCTTTGATATATCGGAGAATCCCAATTCATGTACATGCGCTTGAGTCCCATACGAAATGAACCCGACAAGTGCGTGTTCCGGCAACAATCCAAGAGCCTGCCTCATCGCTGATTTAACGAAACCAAGCTCCTCCTCAATCATGCACGTGTCCAACACGAACACGAACACGGGCGGCAAATGAGGAGGGGGCGGAAGGGTTGTTTGGATCAGGATTCGGTTGGAGCGAGTATTGTACGGTGGTGAATTGCGGGTAGAGCTCGCAAGGCAGGTTCGTCTCGGAGATCATGGCGTAGTGTGGCGGGAAATGGTTGCGCTGGTAACAGAACGGGCATATCCAGATTTTAGCGGTGAAATCGACGCGGGCGAAGGCATTGAGCGCCGCGGCACACGACTTGCACCGCAGAGGCGCGTAAGGAACCGTCGGGATGTCCGGGTGTGGACGTATCGGAGCAATGGAAACGGCCAACGGAATTACGCAGGCACTCGCCTCGAGTTTAGTACGTGGCCAAACGTTCCACGTCATCCTAACGGCGTCGGTTCCTTCGGGATCAGTGTTCGCCATTTCCGACATGGTTGGAAATTATTTTAAAAAATTTTAATAAAAAAACAAAAAAATATTTTTTTTTGGATCAGATTCGATAAATAATATAGAAATTGAATAACCGTTTCGAAACTCTAACGAATTTTTTACTTTTTTTATGATTCCAGGCGACCCCAAAGCTATATCGGGGTGAAAGGGGTCACCGATAGAGACGAGAAGGGAAAACTTTATTGGTTTTATTGAAAGAGAAAGTGATCAATGGAATTCAGCTTGAAGACTGAGTATTTATAAGGGAAATGTTTGTAATAACGGAAGGCTATGCGCTTTCCATTCTTCTTACGACACGTCTGAATATTTCTTTTGGATTAGATCTCACTACTAATTTAACTTTAAAATGTCAAATATAAATTGGATAACTACATATTAAGTCATCTAATTATTTTTGTAGTTCTTTTTTAGTCATATAACTATTTTATTTTCAAAACTATACCTAATATTAAATTTTGGCTTCATTTTGGTCACTCATTGTTAAAGTATTAACTGCGATACTGACGTATCATCATAAGATAATGTTATATCATCGTTAAAAAATAAAATATTATTACATCAACAATTCTATTTTTTTAGCAGCGAATGATCAATACGTAATGGTAGGTAGTTTGAAAAAATTAATTGGGTGACCAAAACTGAATTACGATAATAATTAGGTGACTAAATATATAGTTTACCCAAATAAAATTAGAGTATGATTCGATTTAATTCTAGAATAAGAATATGATATTAAGAAATAAACGGGTAATGAATAATGATGACCACGAATCAGATCGGGTGAATGGGGTTTTTGACCCACCTAAATCTGACCCGCAAATTAAATTCGTCCATTTGCACTCAATCTGATTCGATTTTAGGGAAGTTTCACCGACCTGTTTTTTTAAGGTAAAAATCTACACCCCACTTCATCCAAATATTTATATTAAAAAATTATTCCCATAAGATAAAATAAGGATGTAATTGAAAAAATAATATAGAAATGTACATTAGAACAACCAATTATCTCTAGATGTATAAGAAAAAATTATAATATTATCTCGGGTCGGGTTTTTATCTTATACCCGAACCTAACTAGACCTCATCCATAAGAAAACTCGATTTGGCCCGAATGTCAATTTTAAAGAAGTCTAAATCATGTCATATCAAATCATAATCCGTCAAATTCGAATCCAATATGTATCTCTAATCTCTAATAATGAGTAATAGAAATAAAAAAATATAATGTGTATAGAAGGTCACCAAACTATATTAAAATGGTATTTTATCAATAAATATTTAAATAATAATAATTAAATTTTTTGGAAAATTATAAAACAGTCAATAAAAATTATTAAATAATTATAAAATGATCATTATACTTATCTAATTATTATAAAATAATTTTTAAATTTATCGTTATAAGACCATTTTATAATCATTTTATAATTTATTGTTATATTTAAGCATCTTGATATCGCTTAAGCAAAGTCTTGAGTTCGAGTCCTTGTGTATACAGAAAATCTCTGCTAGGAGACTCACCCACCAAAATTAGGTATGCGATGCGGACCGGTCCGGATTAGTCAAAGCGAAGCTTTGGAACCGGAAGTACAACTAAAAAAATAACTATTTTATGATATTTAAAATTTTATTTCATTGACCTCTTATTTACAAGTTATCGGATCTTAAGGCATAGAGCCCAAATGTGACGCGAAGATCTCAAACCGTTCCCGACTATTGTATACTGTTTTGTTAAGTCTATGGTTATTAAAAGTTATAAAATGATCTCTTAATTTTAGGATGTTATTTTATTGAGTTTATCGATTATTAAAAGTTACAAAATAATCATCTGACTATTCATAATACTTCAACCTCGTCTTTTTCGTTAAAAAATTAACGACCGTCTAAGCTAGACCTTAACATGTTGATTGAGATATGATAGTCGTTTAAGATTATGAGATTATATTTTATTATATCTCAGTTAACATGTTAACGTCTAGCTCAGACAATTATTAATTTTTTAACGAAAAATGACAAGTTTGAAACATAATGCATAGTCATATGACCATTTTATAACTTTTAATAGTTAAAAGATTCAACAATGCAACACCCTATAATTTGGGGATTATTTTATAACTTTAAATAGTTTAGAGACTAAAAAAATAGTATACTATAGTCGATGATCATTTGTGTACTTTATCCTTTTTATTAAAAAAGAAAAAGAAAAAGAAAGCTAACGATCTTAATGCTAAGAGCCCAAATGTGAAGCGCGAAGATCTCAAACTGGAACAACAATGTCAGACGCTAGAAAAGTGGAGGGAGAGTTATGGAACTATCTTCAATCCGTTAGCGCGAACAACTCTACACACTCGCTCTTTATCTATTCCTTGTCTCATCTCGATATCACCTTTATATTCCCATAGGATCGGATCTCTTTTGCAAAACCAATCTCCGATCATTTGCCGATGAGAGAAAATACCGATCACCCAAAAGCAAGCAACATGGAAGAAGCCACAAAGGTTGACCCAGTTAACCCCATCATCAGAGTCGGTGAGGAGAGAGATATTGGGAAAGATGGCCTGAAGAAGAAGTTGGTTAAGGAAGGTGAAGGGTGGGAGACTCCCGATATTGGTGACGAAGTTGAAGGTAATGATGGGTTCTTCTTTGTTCGGTGTTCTATTGATTTGTTTGGGCATTTTTGAGTGATGGGGTTTGTTTCATTTCGCTTGCAGTGCATTATACTGGAACTTTGATTGATGGAACCAAGTTTGATTCCAGCCGGGATAGGGAAACTCCTTTTAAATTCAATCTTGGCGTAGGTAAAGAAATATATTTATCCAGTTTAGCTTTGATGTAGTAAATTTACTGGTAAACTTAACCAAGTATGCTTAATATGTTCTAAGTTTTCCGATATTTGGAGGATCACGCCTCATATCCGAGTTCGAATATGTGTTGGACACAATTTTATGTCGGAAAATGAGGAATCACAGACTATATAACTAGCTAGCTGAACGAAACGATATGTGGCGTATCTGTAATAGGAATGTACCGGATATGCTAGCTTGTTTATCTTCATGATTTTCAGGGCAAGTAATCAAGGGCTGGGATGAAGGTATCAAAACCATGAAGAAGGGTGAAAATGCCATTTTCAATATACCGCCCGAGTTGTCGTATGGTGAATCCGGATCACCTCCAACTATTCCTCCTAATGCAACACTTCAATTTGATATGGAGTTGCTTTCTTGGACTAGTGTCAAGGACATATGCAGAGATGGAGGAATCTTCAAGAAAATACTTGTCGAAGGGGAGAAACGGCAGAACCCGAAAGATTTGGATGAAGCATTTGGTATATTAGGATTCATTTCCTCTTGGTCTGCTTAAATCATTCAAAATTTTATGCTATTGGGTGCTTACAGCGGTTTTGTTGTGCTTATGATAGTTAAGTATGAAGTTTGTTTAGAAGATGGTACACTGGTTTCAAAATCGGATGGGGTGGAGTTCACTGTAGGAGATGGTAAGCATGATTACTCTTGACTATATGTTCTTTACTTATCTTGAATGTACTCCGAAAGCTTAAGTATGATGTTGGACTATGCACCGTGCAGGCTATTTCTGCCCTGCCTTTGCCAAGGCCGTAAAAACGATGAAGAGAGGGGAGAAAGTTCTGTTGACAGTGAGGCCACAGTGTCAGTTAAATTCCTTTATGTTTCTACTGGTTTGTACATGGAACACCATGAAACCCAAAACGACTCCTTTTTGCATGTAGATGCATTCGGTGAGGATGGTAGGTCGGCATCGGGCAGTGAAGGTGCTGTTCCTCCGAACGCTATGCTCCATATCACTCTTGAGTTGGTTTCTTGGAAGACCGTTGCCCATATCACGAAGGACAATAAGATCAAGAAGAAGATCTTGAAGGAAGGAAAGGGTTATGATCGTCCAAGGTAAAATCGCTATGGAATTTGATATTGCATTACATTCTGTAATTTTTTTGAATAGTTTTCTGAACATCTTATCACTCTTCTTTGTACTCTTTGTTAGTGAAATTAATCGGGAAGTTGGAGGATGGGAAAATCTTTGTGAAGAAGGGTCATGATGAGGAGCCCTTTGAGTTCAAAGTTGATGAAGGTGACAATTGATTTGTCATCCTTATTTTGTTCAATTAGATGCCATGCCATAGGCACATTGGTTTAATACTTCGTATTTGCATGAAGTCGTTTCTAATATGGATAAAATTTGTTGCAGGACAAGTAGTTGACGGTCTTGAAAAAACTGTGAATACCATGAAGAAAGCAGAGCATGCACTTATTACCATACAGCCCGAATACGCTTTCGGTTCATCGGAGTCACAGCAGGAGTTGGCTGTTGTTCCTGCAAACTCAACTGTGTATTATGAGGTTGAGTTGGTCTCATTTGTGAAGGTTAGTATATACATTCACCTATTACCTCCGTCGGATTCCGGTGTCTAATAAGTTTATGATGAACGGTTGCAGGAGAAAGAATCTTGGGAAATGAATGCACCAGAAAAGATTGAAACGGCTATGAAGAAGAAAGAAGAAGGTAATGCATTGTTCAAGACTGGTTACTACGAGAGAGCATCAAACAGATACGAGAAGGTAAAGTTATGCAGTATGCACCATCAACTTCGTCATTTGTACAAATTCATGAGACTTTTTACTTAAGATTTGACGGTTCCAGGCTATCAGGTACATAGAGCATGACTATTCTTTCAGCCACGAGGAGCAGCAGCAATGTAAGTTGCTAAAAGTAACTTGCAATCTCAACAATGCAGCTTGCCAATTGAAACTCAAAGATTACAAGCAGGCTGAGGAGCTATGTACCAAGGTAATAGCTTTAATGCCATGTAGATCTCGTCTTGATGAGAGATGTAAATCAAGCATTTGTGATTTTATAGGTGTTAGAGCTTGAAAGTAGGAATGTGAAAGCGCTATACAGGAGAGCTCAAGCATATATACAACTTGTTGATTTGGATTTGGCAGAGGCGGATGTAAAAAAAGCCCTGGAGATCGACCCTAATAACAGGTATTATGCTTTAATCAGTAAGTTGTTTTATTAACAATTGCTGTTAAATTTATGTTTTTTTGGTTGATACCAGGGATCTAAAGATGGAGTACCGAGTCCTGAAGGAGAAGATGAGGGAGTATAACAAGAAGGATGCACAATTCTATGGCAACATATTTGCAAAGATGACCAAGTTAGAGCAATCAACTACAACAAAACAGGACCGGCCAGCCCCTATGATCAAGGCATGATTAAGCCATGCATGATGATGATATTCTTCTAGTTCATCTAATAAAATGATTGTCTTTGGATTCTCAAGAATGTTTACATGATGTTAAAGTCATGTCCTTTGACTGCATGTTGTATTTGCATCATAAAAACCCAGAATTTCTGGTATAACAAAATAGTTAATCACCATATTTCTTATTCATCTCTTTATTGATTAAAGATTGCATGTCCAAAGACCCTCAAAACATAGAACCAAACATGGGAAATGACTCATTTTTATTGTTTAGAAGGGGAAAAGTTAAGCAAATCCTTGGATTTAACCCAAGGTTTAACCAAACCAACCGATTCAAAGGTCTTGGATAGTCCACCCTGCATGGCGTTAATCTTGAGATAATACTTGATCCCGGAAACCACCTGTTTCTCAGCCTCCACCACTTGAGAAAAAACCAATGCCGCCGTTGACGACGACGACCCACCACCGTTATGACGTAACCGTCCTTGCCTCCGCCTGTTATACTCTTCCACCGAGAACCTCCCGAGCTCTTGGATCTCCTTGTTGTTCTTCACGTCGTTTATCGGCGTTCGACATCCCAACCCTTCAACCACCGTGAACGACGACGCTGTTGTCACCACCAACAACGACGAGAGAAGAATGATCACCCCAACTTTTGCCATATCTCTAACCTGTTCCTAGTGCTAACTCCTTTTTAATGAGAAAATGATCTGATTGTGAAGGAGTAGGATTGTTTTGGTATATATGTGATAATAATATAAGCAACAAAGACTGGAAAAAAAGACTAGTGGATTGATGGGTCAAGTTCATGAGTGGGAACACTGTTTCGAGTATTCGACACGCAATTTAAGGTGATTAAATGAATCGATGGACAGAACAAGGAAACCGGGGAAGACCAGACACGAGCATGAACGTGGAGCTGTGTTTTCGTTATTGAGGGGAAATGACACCGGTTACCATCTGTAAATTATGTTGTAAACATCGTGTTAAATGGTAATATGTTACGAACTTTTTGAGCCGGTGGTTGATGGAAAAGATAAACGTGATGACAGGGGGAATGCCAATTCTTATCATCTCGGGCATTATTGAAATGCTGATAAGGATTTCCATTTTCGTATGGGAGGACAGCTGCATAGATAAATTGACAAGCGGCTGCATTTATATACAATAATATCGTGGATTTAAATTATCATTGTAGTCTTTTCATTTACGTTGTGATGTGATAATAACGAATGTTATTTAATCATTATTAATTTCACAATTATAAAATAATAATTTTAATCGACACATTTATTATTATATAATGACTATATTCCAATATAAGAATAAATTATATGTTCAACCATCTAAATTTCAATGTGTTTCTCTCACTTTTAAAATTTTTAAGATTTATCATTAAATTTTTAAGATTTATCATTAAATAAATAATTTAAATTAAAAATTTGATCTTATCTTAATAATCTAATTTACTCCCATACTCAAAATTGGTTCGAATCATTTAGGTTTATCAGGTGAAAATGAGAGTTGAATTGGATTTTGGGCTTGAATTATATTTGGGTCGAGCCTTGGTGAGTTTTGCTTTCGGATCTAATGGATAGGTTCAGACAAAATTAATGTTTACAATTATCTTTCTTTTATCTATTATCGAGTAATAAGAATAAAGTAAAAAAAATGATGATTCTCTCCTTCGTGTCATAGGAGATAAGATCTGAAGACGATGAACTACACCTTTTTACCGAAGAAATTAGACTCTTTGGCTTGTATTTGAGGAGATGTGATTTGTTGAAGATGATAACCTCTTTCATACTCGAGAATGCTAAATCTAAAGATGATGTTTTACTAATTCACAGCTAAAGATGTGAGATTTATTCAAGATAATTTGCTCCTTCATTTCCACTATTTTACACGTAATGAGGTGAAATATGTTGAAGATAATTATGTTTTTATTGGACCAAACTTGAATGATCAATCAAATAATGCATACATATGCATTATGTTCACACCATAACCAATTGGGAAAGTTAAGCACATGCACGTGTTAGCCAAGTGTGTTCCATTGTAACATAGCTAAAATCCCGACACGTATCACATAAAAGTTAAAACCCAGTCACAAGCATTCATTCCTGAAAGCTATAGCATCAATTTACTATCTCGTGGCAACAAAAAGGAACCCGAAAGCATGTAACGTGTACACATTGGAGCACATGAACGAACATCATGTCAAACATGTTATCGTTATCCGTTCATCATAGACATACTTCTCTTGTACACTCAAGTGATTGTCCCCCCCTCCCATCCTATTGACACTCAGACCAAACAAATAAATGATCTCCGCTTCAAAAACAACTATACATCTTTATTTAGATTTTCCCTTCTTCCTTCGTGTCCATTTTTTGTAATAAAATACGGTGGTCCACTACATTCATCATCATAAGTTCACATCGTCTTTGATTAAACTTGAAATGTGTATATATATTCATATTGTATTTATATATTTTTAAATAGTTTGTGGTAATAATAAGATAATATATGTTCAAAATTTTTTTAACGATTGATAATATATATCACATAAATACATCAATGATATATTTTTGAGTAATTGAATTATCTCTTGATATATTATGATACTTTTGAGTCACTAAAAAATCATTGTATATATCATGTGAGTGATAAGTGTCGAATCAATTCGTGAGATTTTTTTCTTCTAATAAATGATGTTAGACTTCTCCAGACATGAACTCTCCAGAGTATGACTAAAACAAATTATATAAAATTTGACACATTTACATGTATATTTCATATTTATATTATTCTTATATTATATCATTTTTAAATGTATTCATCATCAATAATTTGTTAGAGACCATAGAACAAGAAGCTTGTGGTTTTGTCTTCCCTATCGAATCGAATCAATCTAACCCGAACTCTGGGACCATTTTTGACACTTTTTGAGACCCGATTCAGAAAGCATGGGGACCGGCATCTGCTGGTGATCAAATAGGACAAATAAGCATCTTAAACCCTGGCCATACATCACCAATATATCTTCTCATACATGGTACAATTTAATCTTTTTAGCCTTGGAAAAATGGAAAATTATATTTTGGCCACTTTAAACAATTAATGGTTCAATTAAGTCATTTTAGCACAACTTTTTTAACATTGCCCCCATTTTTTTTATCTCATCCCGAACATAAAATTCCTTAATCGATCCCATTCAAGCGCAAAAAATAATAAATATATAACATGAAGTAAGAAAAAGAAATAAAATCATCAAATGTAAATTAGAAGATTGCTTGATTCTATCAATGTTTTATCACATGATTATAGATTTTTCTAATAATATGAGTTGATTATAATGTAATATTTATTTATAATATTTGTTAATCATTGAGAATGTATATATACCCTACCTACGTAATTATTCAAACTCGAAACCTTAAAGAAAAATAACACTTTATTTAACTATTAAAGTTACTCGAAAGGTTCATGATTATGGAGTTTTGATTTTAACTCATGCATGCATGCATTAATATTGTTTTTGATTTTGTATATTATGCTTTGCAAAGCTATGTTTATGCATGTAATAATTGCTTAATGTTTGGTGAAGCAAAATGTTAGGCTTTGACGGCATATTTTCAAACCAAAAAAGTGTAACATATTATTGATTTTCAAAAATCCAATCAAAGTTTTGGATATATACCAACCAAAGTTAAAGCAATTAACACTTGTTGAGGTTAAAGAAAAGGACATATTTTTACGGATGAAAAAGGTAATTTTATGTTAAATGTGTGAATTTAAAAAATTATATTATAAATATAAAATACAAAAAATTGTAAATTTTCAAAAAAAATACGATATTAAATGATTAATAAAAAATATAATATATGCAAATTTGAAATTTTTAAATTCGTCCCACCATAAAAGATTACAAGAATGGTGTAGAATATTAACAAATATAAAGGATACAAGAATTAAAGTGACAGATAGCATATGGGTACATCTAAATCATCATTAATTATAAACCCCACAAATAAACATATTACATCAATCTCTCTTGATCATTAATCACTCGAATAATCATATATCTAATAACAAAATTAAATTGATAAATATTTGAGAAATATTTAAATCAAAAAATAAAAATTAAGACAATATTTTAGTAATTCATTTTATAAATCAATTAAAACAATTGCAGTTGTAGCTTGTAACTGTTGGACAATAAGAATCCAATGGTGCAACTAACTTTACCTAACTATTTGAAGTTTATATATGAATATATGGGGAAAATAAGATAATATACGTTCAAAAAGTCTAAAATCTTTTTGATAATAAAAATTCATATATCTGATACGCGGTGCTCGAACCCATAACCTCAAGAAACAACAAAAACTCTATTTACTATTAAAATCACTTGGTTCGTACAATTATTTAAAGTTATACAATAATTATTCTCATTATTATTTTTTTGCACCATCACTCTTGCGTAATAAGTTGTAAAATATGTTCTCAATTTCTTTTACATTATTGATTTTTTTATTAATATGATGTAATTATAAAGTACAATTTAAAAGGTTCTCGACTATTTTACAATAAATAAATGTCTTAACTCTAAAAACTTATAGAAATAACAACTATCCTTTAACCACTAATGTTGCTTGTTTTGTGTTTTACGTTATTAATTTAGATATATATATATATATATAATAGACTTAATGCAAAAATAAGTGCTCAGACTATATCCAAAGTTAACTTTAGATTCTTATAGAATTTTTCATTAAAATTAGATGTTTAACGTTTTCGACATTATACTTTTAGGTGTCTATCGTTAAATTCAATCGTTAAGTGACGCATGTTGGGCTTATAAAAATTTTAATTTTTTTTTTTTTGAAATTTTATACTTTTGACACTTATCACTTAACAGTCGAATTTAACGGTGTTAACAGTCCAGTCACCTAAAAGTGTAACGTTGGAAACGTTAGACAAATATTTTTAACGAATTTTTTTTAAGAACCTAAAGTTAACTTTAAATATAATTTGAGCACTTATTTTTACATTAAACTTATGTGATAAGAAACCGTGGATGATCTTCTGAAATCATACTAAAAATCGAATTTTAAAAAGTTAATTGCACTTAATTCGAATTTAATTGACAATGGTTATTTCACAATCAATAGATTGATTTGTGGGTATCATGCTAGATTTAGTCACACAATTTCCTTTGGCATCACTGTCAAATTGTGACATTGATGATGAAGAAATGTATCAACTATTTTTATTGATTCAACCATCTAAATCTCATTGGTTGTGTAAGATTGAATTATTTTAGGGGTCCAGATAAAATTTAAAATTTTTAACGAATCTGTATAAAATAAAGTATAAAACTACATGTTTAGTACCTTAACTATCATTTTTATTATATTTTAGTCACTTAACTATTTTTTTCAAAATCATACATAACGTTTAATTTTAGTTTTAATTTGGTCATCCACTTTTAAAAATTTACAATGATGTTGATATGTTACGGTAAGATAATGTCACATCATTAAATATAAAAAATATAATGTCATTAGTTATATTAATTTTTAACGATGTGTGACTAAAATGGAACCAAAACGTAAAATTATGTATGATTTAAAAATAATAATTGAATGATCAAAACAAAATAAAAATGATAATTGAAATACTAAACGCATAATTTATCCTAATAAAATATTTTTGATTGAACTATTAGAATAATAAAAATGATTTTTTTGAAGAGACTAGAAAAAAATAACATCATTAATTAAGAGCATCAAGATTTCGAGTTTTAGAGAGAGATAAATTATCAATTAGAGTGACAAAGTACATTAATCCAATGTTAGAAAGTAAATAGAGTGACAATAGTCGTACCTTTACTTACGTGGTAGGAAATCAGATTGCACTGGTAAAGGTTAAATTGAAAGAAATAATTTTTTTTTTAGATAATTAATGAAAAATTGAATAAGAAAATAATATTTCTCAAATCAGAGGTGATAAATCTTGTCTAATAAGAGCAAAAATCCCTATGAATGAGGGCAATTATCTCCTTGATTAATCATAACTAACAACCACATCCATTAATACCTAAAAGTGGAACAAAATAATAGACGAAACAGATGCACCAAACTTCCATTACAAAAAGATGAGATCTTCTTGTTAAAAGCTCATCATAAACATATAGATTTCGAACTGTTCTTTGAGAGAATAATCCACCATTTGCAGTGTTGAGTCAGATTCATCCAATCAAATAATTTCAACATATAATAATTATTAGCAAAACTTTTTGTTTAAATAGCAATGAACCGATAAATATTTGGAGAATTATTAGGTAGGTCGAGGGGAAAGAGTAGGAAATGATTATGGGTCGCGTAATATCCGACTTTTTATCTATTTAAACCCGATTCGAGTATAACACATTCTTCTCCCGCACTTGACTCGATTTTAATTTGAGTTTAGAAATGGTCAATTCAACTTGAAATATGATATGGTTTATAAAGAAAAATCTATACTCAACCCGTCCAAGACACACATATATATAATTATTTTTATTTAGTTCAATATGGACTTAATTAAAAATATATATAGAAAGATGTATTATTGTAATTATCCCTAAATATATAAGAAATAACTATACCACTATTTCAGATCGGATTGAGTATTTTCACCTCAAACCTGACCCAACCTTAACCGAACCTAAATTAAAAAGAAATGACCTTATAATATCATATTAGAACAAGTTAGATTCGACTCAAATGTCCATCCTTCAAAAAGAGTAAGGAATTGGTCAAATTCTTTACAAGGTCCCTGTTTTATGAAACTAAATTGCTTGAAAATCATCCAATATTTTTTTTTCAATTTCAATTGGATCCATCACCAATTGTCAAAAAGTATCGTTTCTAAGACTTTTGGAATTTCAAAGACAAAACTTTCATGAAAGAAAAAAAAGTTGTCTTCAAAAGGCCATCTCTTTATCTATTTTACGTATGAATTCCACTAAACTTTTTTCCTACAGTATCCACTGTTAATAAAATTTCCTCTTTTTTGTCAGAATTTTCTAAAGCAGATTGGATTATAAACATTAAAGACTTCTTTTTATTCTTCAGCCAACTCAGAACTACACCAATTTCTTATTTAATTTATCGTTCGTATACTTTTTTCGTGTTTATAATAGCATTCGATACATTTATATACTCGTATCATATTTGTATCCTGAATCGTTTCATATCATTATGTTAATAAATATAAGATTATCCTTGTATTATTTGGGTCAGGATTAAGATTTTAAAATTTTAAAAGTACATAAACTAAAATTGATTAAATTAGAATGCAGGGACTAAATACACAACTTATGCATAATATAGGACTAATGACCAAATTTTGACCAAAAAAATTATGAAAACCTGTAAACTGGAGATTGTCCTGTTGGAAGAGATGACAATGGATTACAGCTCAAAAACAGAAAAACATGGTTAATCATCAGTTGGGCTCAAGGGATGAATTGTCCCCACTTTAACAGCTGTTTACAAGTAAACGAATATCTGATTTTAATTTATTTTCCAGCTAAATTTGAAAGCAATGGGGAAATGCTGTCTTTTTCATTTTAACTGTAGCTTTTGTTTGGTTGCTGAGAAAAAAAGAGCACTTTTTTAACATTAGTCTTGCAACAAAACCAAAATCAGCGGAATACTATTAGCCGAAGATATAGGGATTAATCTAAAATTTTGGTTCGATTCGATACGATACGAAATTGTAAGACAAATACATATGGTTGAAACAGAAGTATTACATAAAAATTCATCTCTTCTTTCAACCTCCCCCACAAAGACTAGTGTTTGCCAAAGCTAACATGTCTTCAAACTGTGGCATATGGACCACTTCATTGTAATTAGTCCTAAAATATTACAAATCAAGATTTGTTGTAAGAAATCTCTGAAGTATCTGGTCTCAGAAACAATTTCTGGGAAAATGAGGCTTTCCGTTTCTATTTACAATGGGGAATCACTGGATCAGAATGGTGTTGTTTAATGGTAGTTCATAGCTCGATCTTCACTTGTCCTGTTGATATTGAGCCTGCACCAGACATAAAAAAACGGGATTGGATTTGTTATTCGACCTCGAACCATGCCAGATTCCGAATAGTCGAAGTAACTTAATTGATCAGGCATGATTGAAATTATGCTTTACCTTGATAGCTTTGTGGCTGATTCTGGCCAAACCCCATTTGAACAATGCTCTGGATATCATCCTCCCACATTGATCCGACCTGAGGATGAGCATCGATGAAACCATCGATCGAAGGCAGCTTAAAGCCTTGTGTTTTCATCGAGAATTGAGTCTCGGTAGTATTCGGTATGCCATTGTTTAGTGGTAGTAGCCCTTGCTGGGGATGATAACCGCAAGGGAATGCCGGTGAAGAATCCATCGGATAAATTCCATGCTGTAACACTCCACGGGATTGGAACATCTGCAGAACATAACCAATACAAGATTGTCACTTGAAAAATCCAAATGAATTGCCAGATAGCGAGGCAAATATAAGGGAGATTTAACTTACATCCTTCGATAGAAGGGCTTCCATGTTAACATCCATCCTAGGATTCACGGTCGCCAACTTCATAGATAGAAACTACAGACAAATATCGTTTAATCAGACATAACTTTACGCCCTCGAATCGAAATCAACATTAAAACGTTTCTGGCCTCAAGTGCAGAAGAAATCGACATTACTATTAATAGAGGAGACGTCAGAAATTCAGCTTACCTCAACCTGGCGCTGTAAGGATTGTACATAGTTAATGATTTCATCAAGCATAACTGCTTTACCAGTCACCTGCAACAAATAGACTTCCTGATTTAGTATGCTAATCCAAATACACGTTCGATGAATTTATTCAACACAACATATGCTGACCTTATTGCAACCAGGAACAAGATCCTGAAGGAACTTCATCCTTTCACTTATTTTCTCTCTTCGAACCTGGAAAATTTTGATACGATTGAACATTAGATGAACATAAACCACAATTACTATGAAATGAATAGCAACAGATCATTTTTTCAAGGTTTTCATACCCTTTCTGCAAGACTATGACTATCAGTTGCCTCACCCCTTCTGGCCCTGACATGGATATAATCCTTCGGCGGCTCCGGCGGCTTCGAATTCTCTTTACTTTGCTTCTGATTCCCATCATTTGATGCTTTAGCATTCCCATTTCCAGACGGGGCTCCCTCTCGCTTGCTTCTTTTCGAGTTTGATTCGTCATTCTCTGATGCAACCTGAAATGGATATCTATCATTAGGTTCACCTAGATTTTTTGATAGAATTCAACAATTCAAATAGAATCATCGTTATCTTCAAGTACCTTGGCATCAGCAGCTGCTGGAGATGGGATTTCTTTTGCTTTTCCCCTTGGAATTGATTTCCTTTTCCTGGTACCGGCATCGTTCTGGGATGGGATCTGCTGAGAAACTGAAGATTCTTCCTTGGAAACACCGGATTCGGCATTCTCCGGCGAGGAAGACCTTGAAACCCCACTGTTTTTCTTATCAGAATCAGAATTCCCCGCCATTGCTGAGTTCTTGTTGTTCTGAGATCCATTTACATTAATGGATTGATTGCAGGAAAGCTTAAAAGAATCCATTAATGGACCATTGAAGCAACCGGAATCCCCGCCGGTACTAAAACAGGAAAATCTAGTAGCCCTCTCAGCAAATCCAGGGTCAGCGGAAAACGGCACCAGCGTTGAATGATTCAGCAAATTCACCATTGAAAGATCAAACCTTGGAGGTGAATTCAATGGAGTACTATAACAAGAAGCATCACCAGAATTACATATGTTCCCTAATTTTCCAATCAATTCCCTCATCATTACATTTTCCCCAGAAACAGGGACTTTGGAAGCTGCCGGAGAAGACACCATGGAACTCAATGCTGACTCAAAGGGATCGCTCTGATCCATTGAATTATCCCAATTCGGGTTGAGAAAATGATTCCCCAGTTTCTCTGTTGCACAATTCAGCACCTCAGTGTTCCATGTTAGTTGTCGTGATGCTGTCCTGTTCAGCACCTCAGCCATAAAAGCCTCGTCTTTTTCCATGATAAAAAACACAAAATACGTGAAGATTCTTGAACAACCAGATAAATAATCACAGTGGAAATCGAGAATCAAGAAACAGAACCCATAATTTTTTCCCAGAGAAAAACTAAGCAAAAGAAAGTATAGTCTTTTTAAGAAAGAAGCAAAGATTTACAGTAGAATTTGAGTGAAAAGAGTTGTTCTTTAAACAATGATGATGAAGATGGTGCTTTTGTCACTCAATTAAGGAATTTGAAAGCAAAGAGCAAAAAGATTGTTGGAATCTAAAAAAGCAAAGCTAAAAGGGAAAACAAAGCGAAGAAAGTGAGAGAAAGTGAAGAGCAAGCGAGGATAGATAAAGCAAGCAAAGCAAGCGTCTGTTTGACCTTTTCATTTTAATATTAATTTTAATTTTCAATTACTTTAAATTTTATTTTTTTGAGTAAATTACATTAATAGGGTCATTCAGTTAAGTAAGATTATAAACGTGTCACTAAATTTCAAAAAATTACAAAAAAATACTTTATTTATTGATTATATTAAACATGTCACTATGAGGACCTAATTATTATAATGGATAAATAGAATTGATTGATTGTTAGAATTGATAAATAAAATGATTTAAGGTAAAATATAAAAATAATCTTCCTATTATACTCTATTGTTTTGTTTAGTCCCTTGACTAATAAAAGTTATAAAATGATACTCAAACTATATGACGTTGTTTTTTTGAATCATTCGACTATTAAAAGTTATAAAATGATCACTCGATTATTTATATATTCCAAACTCATCATTTTCGATAAAAATTAAGGTTGTCTGAGTTGTACATTAACATACTAATTGAGATATGATAGTCATTTGAGTTTCAATATTAGATTTTAACATATCTTAGTCAACATGTTAAGGTCCACCTCAAACAGCCGTCAATTTTTTAATAGAAAAGGTCCAGTTTAGAAAATATGAATAATCGGATGACAATTTTGTAACTTTTAATAGTCGGGGAACTCAACAAAACGATGCCCTATAGTTAGAGGATCATTCTGTAACTTTTAATAGTTAAGGTATTCAGCAAAACAACTTCCTATAATCTGGATAACATTTATATACTTTACCTAATGATTTATTTATTACAATGAGTAAATGCAATGGTATGATTATTACCATCAATAAATAAAATAAATTATTTGTTACAAACTTACAAATACTACATAGAGTGTACGAATCAAGTTACCACAGTGGTTAAAGAGATTATTGTTATCTCTAAAAATTTCAAGTCTGAACACCAGAGACTACAAGGGTGTAAATTTTCATTGTCATATGATTAAGAATGTTTAGAACAAATATTACTTTGTAATCATCTATATTAATAAAAAATAGTGAGTCAGTTATAATAAAACTACTAATAATGAGTAACTTATGGTGTAATTTACCCTTACTTTTTTTAATTTATGAATAATATTAAAATATTAAAATATTAAAATATTAAAATATTAAACAGTAGTATCGCGAAAATCCCAGCCTAAAACTCCGTAATAGACGGTGGAAGGAACGGATGAAATTGGCGACCTTCTAATTTCAACGCTCAAACCATCCATTTTTTTCCAATGTATCAAAGCTTGTGATAACTAAATGCCATTACTCTTTTTATGCTAATTTATAAAAACCAATATTTTATTTTAATGATTGTTATTTAAATTTTTGTTTTCATAGCATGAATCAAGCGATCTTAATGATTAAAGAATTATTGTTATTTCTAGAATTCTCGAACTTAGATCCGACCTTTGCAGGAAATTATTGAGAGTTTTTTGAATTAATATTATATTCTAATCATATCATACTAATAAAAAGTTATTAATAATTTAAAATATTTAAAAATTTGAGACCGAATCTAAAATAAAAATTATAATTTAAAGATGAATTTAAACATAATATACGTCACCTTATATTATTTTATAATTAAATTATATATTTAAACAAATTATGTTTATATAAGTTTACTATGCATTTTTTCTACTTTAAAGTCGTGAAAATTTAACGATTTAATTATTATTTTTGTTATAATCGTAATACTTTTATTAAAATAAAAAAATAAAGATTAAATTGATAAATTATATAAATATTAAAAATATAATTATAGATTTTCAATGTGAATGAAAACGTTTATTTTATATTTTAAAACAATTCCTATTTAAAGCATGAAAAATGAGTATTTTCTTCCTAATAGATGTTGAACCCACAAATTTAAAAAAGATGAGAAGTATTAACTAATAATTTTTAATCATTTGTCCCGAAGATTATTAACATTTATTTAATTTTATATTTGATGCTCCCGTCAATATTAAATTCTTTCTTCTAAAATAAATATTACTTAATAGAATGTAACAAATTGACTGTGTAAAACGGAGGGAAAATAAATAAATAATGAAACTTAAACAACACTTCATCTGTGGCCTAAATAAATATCTTCGGAACCATTGAATTATGTTGATTGTGAATAAGTGTTGACAAGTAAAAATTAAATGGACTTTAGATAATGACGTTTTTCTCAATAATTTATCGGTGATTGGTATATTTATCGATTTAACATTGGTCAGATTATATTTCCCGATCTAACACCCGTAGCAGTAAAGTACGCCCCCTGAATTGCGCTATACGCTGATTTGACGTCACGTGGGTATAGCGCGCCCCCTGCCCCGTGATATACGCTGATTTGGAGTTACGTGGGTATAGCGCACCCCCTGTCCCGTGATATACAGTGATTTGGCGCTACGTAGGTATAGCGCGCTCCCTGATCCGCGCAATATATGGGTATCTGACACGTGGGGTATAGCGCGGTGCAGGGGGCGCTATACCCCTAAATGCCTGCCTCTCTACATCCCAATCCTACTATAAATACTCATATCCTCGATCACTTTTATCACACCAAATTCTCTCAAATTCTCTAAATTTCTCTCACATACTCTCTCTTTTTAATGTATATTTTATAATATTTTTACTAATATGTATTTAATTTATTTAAGTATTTTACTTTATTTAATATTTTACTAATATAATTCTTTTGCAGATATATAATGGAAGGCAGTCTACTTCGCTCGGATTGAAATCATATATCTCTACACTTTGCTGATACGGTAACATTTTAACGTTTTAATTTAATTTAAATTATTAGTAATATTTAGTTGATTTATTTAATGCATGATTATTAGATTAATAATTACTTTGAGCTTCAACCATCATTTGAACATCATCATTGTTCGAAAGTTCGAACGTTGTATAAGTTAATGGCAACAATGATGTTGGAAAGCTGTACTGCAACGACGACATTCTTCTACTACTTCCAACATGAATCTTCCTCCAAATCTTCGTTATCAGATCCTCAAGAGTTATGTTTCTCTTGAATGATATTTTAACACGCTCATTTGATACGAAAACAACGCCGATTTCATATTCTCAAATTTCACCATCATAATAAACAATAGCCGAAAGTCGCGTCATTCTTTGAGTTTAAAAGTACGACAATATTATATCTGCAAAAAAAAATAACTGAAACAAACCTGATTAAATAAATTATATATGAACGAAAATAGAACACAAATTTTTTTTTTTTACACATCAACGTAAATAATTTAAATAATATAATTTTATATTATTACCTGCACCGTAAAACTATTTCGACGTATGCTCCCGCTTTTCAATTTACAAACATAAAAATTAATTGAAAATAATGAGTATAATATTTTTTAAAATAATAATAATAAACAATAAGTATAATTAAAAAAATTATAACAAAATTATCTTATAACGAAAAATCGCACGAACTTCTAAATTAAATATGAGAAGATTGTCAGAATTATTACTCGTTGACGAAATTGTTGTATTATTTATAAGAGATGAGAGATGCGAGGAGATGTGAGAACCGAATGAATGTATTTATAAACGTAAAAGGCACGGTACTTGCACCGCGTTATATGTAATTATTATATAGTGCGGACCAGGGACCGCGTTAAATATAATTTTGTCGGCGTATAGCGCTGCCCCTTATCCGCGCTATACCCCTACGTGGCGTATAGCGCGGATCAGGGGTCGCGCTATACCCCACGTGTAACCCAGTCAGCGTATAGCGCGGTACAGGGGGCGCTATACTCCACGTGACGCCAAATCAGCATATAGCGCGATTCAGGGAGCGCGCTTTACTGCTACAGGTGTTAAATCGGAAAATATAATCTGACCGGTGTTAAATCGGTAAATATACCGATCACCGATGATTTTTCGGAAAAAACACCTTAGATAATATCTAAAATAAAGGAATTATATACAAAACGATATATTATTTTAATTTTGTGTAAAATAATTAAAATGAGAAATATTGTTATAGGTATGCAACTTACTGTTAAAATTGAAACAGACATCTAACGTATGTTTGTATTAATTCAAAATTATTTAATAAACTTAATTTTTTTTTTTTAAAAAATATAACCATTTACTATATTTTAACGATATTATTAAATTAAACAAGTATGTAATATCAATAAATCAGTTGAATAATTGCATTCTACCCCAAAGTAGTAATAAATTATTATTATATTGTTATTATACTAGAAAAGCAACATGAAAGTAATATAATATTAATGTGAGAAAAATAAGTAATTCAAAAGAAGAACAAAGACTAAATTGATATTATTTTTTTATTATAAAGGATTAAATTTATAAAATTATTTTAAATTGAGATTAAATTGATAGAATAAATAAATTTTGTTAAATAAAATTACTATTATGTTGAGTCATATCACTATTTCATCTAAATTGAGATATTGAATATTATTTATTTAATTAGTTATATATATAAATGACAATCCAGCTCAGTTGGTAGAGCACAAGGTTCTTAACCTTGAGGTCGTGAGATCGAGTCCCATGAAGGGCATTTTATAATTTGGAGGTCTCCTACGGAAGCTGCTCTCAACCTAGTGTTGGGGGCAGCCTATTATCTTACCTCCCCCTTACCCCATTACATATGGGAACAAGGGACAGCCAAAAAGTAATTAGTTATATATATATATATATATAGTTATGATAATCACAAATAATTTATATATTTAATTTTACGTGAATGAGTTTTGGTTTAATAATAAAGTTAAATTATAAATTTTGGTTAATTTTAATAACTTTTAACTTTTTACAATAATTAAATGTATTGTTTATGATTGTTTTTTTATTGTATATGTATATAAATTTAATTCTCTAAATTAAATATTTTAATTTAACAATGGAGGTCGGCAAATTACAAAAAGATCGGTTAATATTGAGCCAACGTGAAGTTCAATCATCGAATACAAACATTCACATATAGAAACAAGAGACAACCAATTTTTTTTTAAGTTCAATCATCGAATACACACATTCACATGCAACCTTCCACTATTTGACCAAATTTTTTTTAACTTAGGGACACCTATTATTATTTATCTAAATAATTCAGCTGGAACGAATTCCAAGGTAAATTCTTTGTTTATTGCCATTTAAATAATTTAATTTTAATAATATAATTTCATAAAAATATTAAAATAATAGTGTAACTAACATTGCAGATATTTTTATTGTTTATTTGTTTTATATTTTAAAGTCTCTTCCAACCAAAGCTTGGAAAGAATCATTTCTATGGCAGGGTTGATGATTAGTCTTTGCACAAGTTGCCAATTTTTTATTTTATTTTAGAATTGAGTTTAATATCTAGTTGTAATAGGATCTGTACTCAATTTTTTAATATTATTGTATATATTTTTATTGAAAAATATAATGAGAATTAAACGTATTATTATAATTTTAATAAATGATATTTTTTTAAAAAAATTAAATGATATTTTTTTGATTGATTCATTGTTATTATATCAAATTTTATAATAATAACGGATAAAGTCATTAACATTGTAAAATATTATATATGAAATTAAAATGAAAAATTTATATGTATTATGTATATAGATCATCTACCAATCAGTTATTTATTTACTTTTTTGAAAATTGTTGTTTAATATGGGAACAATATTAATTGCTCTGTATTTTTAAAAATAGTGTATTAAAAGAATTTCATCATTCTTAAAAAAAAATATTAGAAATGTTACAGTACACAATATTTTTTCCTAAATTTTAATTTTAAATTTTTTTATTAGGGTTATCTACAAATATTTTCCTTGGATTGTTTAGTATTTTTCACTATAAAACAGTTTGTGTTTATATTTCGTTGGTTTGCTTCTTTCCCAAGTTTATTATATCAATTACTCATTATTGTAATTATATTTTGAGTGGATCCATATTTTTTCAATGTAACATTTAAAAATATTTTTAAAGCATGAACCAATTTATTACAATTGTTAAAAATATAGAATTCATGAGTTTGAGCACTAATGGCTGCAATAGTGATTAAGTGTAAATTGTCAAATGATTGATAGTACTTAGAATAAATACTATTTTATAATCACTATTAATTAAATAAAAAAATTAAAACAATATTATTTTATAATTAAACCATATTAATAAAAAGAAAAAAATAATTAAGTTTGGAGAATCCATCGAACAACCTCAGAAGTAAAAATGTTTTTCCTAGAAATTTTGGATTCGAGTGCCTGTATATGCAATTTTTGTGTATGTTGTTACTGACTAAAAAAATTATACACAAATACTATATTGTTTCAAAAAAGAAATAATTGAATTTGTAATCAATTAAGTGTCATCGCATATAAAAGCAAATGTTATTATTTTTAAAAGAATTTATAATTCAAATCTTAACAACTGTATCTATAAAATGTATGAACATTATCAATAATTAATAAAAAAAAATAGCGTATCTTATTCAAGAATTATCCCTATTTCCAATTATATTTAGACATTTTATTAACTAATTCTTATTATAATTATATAAATGAATCCGAAATTTTTAAAAAATTAATTTTTTGAATAGTCAGAGTAATGAATAATGATAAGGTATTATATATTTAAAAAAAATTTTAATCAATTGACAATGCATACATACTCATCAGACCTAGTCACTTAAATCTAAAATCTATAAAAAAAAATATCATTTTCTTTTACCGTAAAATAATTGATTAGTTCTAAAAAAAAAAATGAAATATTATATCTATTCGTTACTATCGTGCAGGTATAATCTTCTTTCTCAAGGATAACTTTTAGATTTATTTTATGAACCGCCAAATTTCAGATAGAGAGATAATTTAATCCATTAGTCGTAAAGAAGTGCTTTACAAAGAGTTGCAAACCCTATCTCTAACCCCTAAAATAGCTTAGCCCACAATTATAATAAACTCATTGTTTAATTTGTGGCTCAAACACACCAATTTATTTATTTATTTTATATATTAATAGCATAATTATAGGTCAAAAGTAGAGTTTCTTATAGTTTCCTTACATTCATGAATCTTTGTAAATCTTTTATATATATATATATATATATATCAGCTTAAACTATAGAAGAGAGGCTATGGAATCGCACAATATAAGGTGATTTGTTTGCATAAAATCTAATAAAATGAACATGTCAAAGAGTTTTGCAAGTGGTGAACTTAGTTAATTGTAATGAATTATTTTTTTTAATTTTTAATTAACATCATCATTAGAAATTGTAGGAGTTCAAAATTATACTAAAATTCTGCTTATGATTATATATGAAATATTGTAGTATCTCTCCTTTTCTTTGGAGGGATCATTTAAAGGAAATTATCATATTACGAGACAATTAATGTAACAAAAAGGTTAGATTATAATAACTTACACAAAACGTGTCAAAAGCATACTTTTCTTGGTCTAGTCATAATTTATTCCCAATACTAAAAGGAAAATTTACTTATATAAATTAAAATAACTAAAAAATAAACATGGATTGAGTAGCTGCGTAATTTGTAATAATAAAAACCCAAAATATTCAATTGACGATGATTAAAGTGAAAAAGAAGTTGTTTTGCACCTCACAAGAATATTCGATTGGGACCACCAGATCAGACAAAACATGTAATTACAAAACTAATCGCAAACTTCAATAAAAAAAATTAAGATGTCTGTCCGTGTTTCTGGTGGGCTTGTACCAATAAGAGTTTGGGTCAAAACCATGGGCCCTTTTCCTGCAATTAAACCAATTCGTTTTTAATAACTCTATATTGCATATTTGCATACTGGAACAAGACATTTGGACACCCTTCGATATTTCATGATTTTCATCGAAGAGAAACATAAACTATGAAGAACAGCATGAATACTTGGTCTTAGACTGCTTCAACTCATCATCATTCACAAGGCTCACCATACTGTTAGTTAACTCGGCTTTGTACGAATCCGAACTCAACACTCTCCTGCTCACATTGTTGTAGATCTCTCGGATAACGATCTCGAATGCAGCCTCGACAATGGTCGAATCGAGCGCGGACGTCTCAGTGAAGAACAATCCTTCGGATTTCGCCAACCTTTTACCTTCGTCCAAGCTGACTTCTCTTGTGCTTTTCAAATCGCATTTGTTCCGTACCAGCATCCTTGCCACCGTTGTACATGAATGGGCTGACAAATTTTGATCCATCGTAATCATAGTTCCCAGTGACGATTAAAAACTTAAAAATAGAGTTTAAAATTTTAATATTCTATTTTATAAGAAATGTGTGTATGTAAATTTCTTTATTTTTTTCATTTCCCTTAATATATTGTACTAAATTTAATATTTTTTCCCCAAAATAATAGGTATGCAATTGAACTCCATCAAAGCCATATACATTTGCCCCTAATAGTTTCATTGAAAAGCAAATGAAACAAATGACATTTTTCGTAATTTGAACAAGATAATGATAAGTAATTATAAATTAAGAAAAAGAAATTAGAATAAACACACATCATATGAGAAAACGTTAGTAGAGAAAACACTTCGGTAAACTATATAAATAATCATTAATATTTGAATAATTTTTTTATTTTAAAAAATAATTTAATCATAACGTTATTGATTTATAATAAATTGATCAATTGACTATTAACCGTTATTGGTCTAGTCTAATATAATATAACAGTCGCTAACTGCCCTTCAATTATTAAATGAATTAAACTAATTCCTATACTCGTAAAAAGGTAAAATAAATGTTGTTTTTCTACAAAGTCGATATTTTACATGTTACAAAATGCTAATTATCGTTTAAAAATGTCAATATTTTTATAAATTTAATAATTCAATAAATAATTAAATATAATTATTTAATTGTTTTACGAGTACATGGATTAAATTAATCCATTTTATAGAAGAGTTAATATGAAATAGTCCCTATAATAAAGGGATTATATTGTCTTATTTAGAATCCATCAAACAATATGGGCTTAAAGCAAAAACATGTGAACAAAGTATATTTAAAATTAAATTTTTGGTGTTAATAAAGATTTTTTTTGTTTGTAAAAAATAGGTGTCTAACGATTATAACGTTATATTTTTAGGTGCATAAACAGTAATACCGTTAAATTTGACTGTTAAGTGACACATATTACGTTTATAAAATTTTAAATTTTTATTTAAATTAAAAAACTTAAAGCTTAAAATTTATTTTTAAAAGACTCAAAATTTTATAAAATTATAATAAGAACTCAAAATCTCTTAAAATCTTATTTTTAATCCAGTAACACCGTCAACCACCACCAACGCCGTCAATCGACCGAACAACCAACATTGTTCGACCGTACAACCACCCAATGACTAAAACCACTTATTTTTTGACCAATCGAATATCCAATGGTTGTGTAAACACAAGATTTTCGTGATCGGTTGAAAGGGGTTCTCCATCTGTAATCATCGCACGAAGCATGGGGTCCAATCGATGGAGGTTTGGGCAGATACATGTTGTCGGGTTACGATCGATTGGTGGCGTTTGTGGCGGCCAACTGTGGTAATTGATTGAAATTAGAGTTTTTTTAAGATTTTGGGTTTTTTTATAAATTCAAAAAATAATAGGTTTTTAAAATACATTTTAATTTTAATTTTTTAAAAAATAAATTTTTATTTGTCTAACATGTGTTAAATAACGGTACTTTTTAACAGTTGTTGCAAACCACACACCTAAAAGTATAACATAAAAAAGTTAGACATCTAAAAGTATAACGTAAAAAATATTAGACATCTAAAAATATAACGGATAAAACATTAAACACCTACTTTTAACAAAAAAAATCTTTAAACACATAAAATTAACTTTAAATATAGTTTAGATATTGTAGATATTATTTTATAATTATCTTATTATAATATATAATATATAATATATATATTGGCTCATTTAATAATAGATGGATTATATATGGATTTCAGGAGTGAATGGATGTGTGTGGGCATGGAAATGACACATAGCTCCAAAAGCTGATCATAGAGATCCCTTCCAACTTAAACAAATATACAAATTATCATCCCATCTTTGTTCAACCATCTATTTTTTTTTCACAATGCCTGCATTCTGTGCAACATTTGGCTCAGTTTCTTTCCTTTCTCATCTCTTCAATCCTGATGTCTCCTCTTTCTCTCGTTTCCTAAATCACACAAAGCTCTCCAATTTGTACTCTAAACCTTCTCTTATCAGGAGATCCCCATCATCATCATCATCATCATCTTCATCATCATCATCTTCATCATCATTGTGTAATCTCAAAGTCTCTGCTTCATCGGCATCATCCAATACCAAAATCGATAACTCTCAACAACCTGAAGCTGCCGTCACCGCAGTTCTTGACAATTATGTACCCACTGATGACATCAAACCAGCACGGGTGTGTTTTTATGCCACTTTTTCCCTTTTTAAAAAAAATGTATTTTGATTTTTTTGACAGCATAATTTTGGACTAATAAAAGAAAGCATTTTTTTTGTAAATTGTTCCAAGTTCAGTGCTTCAATACTTGTATATACAATCTAATACTTAGTCCCTGCAAAGAAGTAGAGGTCTGCTGATTGGAAGGCTGCCAGGGCATATTTGCACAGTGGTTTCATCTATGGGGGTAGAGTTGAAGGATTTAATGGTGGAGGCTTGCTGGTTCGCTTCTATTCTCTTGTGGGGTTTCTCCCTTTTCCTCAGCTGAGCCCTTCACATTCATGTATAGGTACTATCTTTGTTGCTGCTCTGAATACGGTTATGAGTTTTAAGCTTCCGAGTCTCAAAATTTCCAATCTTTTGACATTTTTGCATATAGATTACGTAACATGGGAAATTAGTAAATTGTATGTTTGCAAATGTGGATTTTGGAGTTGAAAAATGTTCATTCCATTCAAGTAAGGTATAGGGGAAAGAGTTGCAAATGTTTGAATTCGAATCTCGAACCTGTTTGATGCTGCCTTCTATGAATCAATTGAGATAAGCTATGGGTTCAGTTAGCCTTTATAGTCTTGACATAGATTTGGTATCAAGTTTCTTCCAAACTCAAGTGATTTCTTCTCCCATTCCTTTTCGCCTGTGGCCATCGTGCATGAACTTAAATGCAACAGGTTTCCTCTGGTTTTATTTATATTTTCTGTCTTTTCTATGAAATACAAGTTTATGGTAACACTGAAACCTAATCTATTACATTTTTTCATGACAACATATGCTGTAGAACCCAGCAAAACTATCCATCAGATTGCCAAAGGTCTTGTTGGTTCGATTCTTTCTGTGAAGGTAATGCTTCTTTCGTAGTGTTTATGTTCTTCTTTCATCTCATAAAAGACATTAGTTCATAAGTTTTATAAGCGAATGTTTTACTTGTTCCATTTTCCCCTTTGATTTTAGTAATTTGAGTATCTCATCTTACTACTTTAGGTAATCCAAGCTGAAGAAGAGAGCAGGAAATTGATATTCTCAGAAAAGGAAGCCGTATGGACAAAGTTCTCTACCAGAATTCATGTAGGGGATATTTTCGAAGGAAAGGTCGGTTCTGTCGAAGATTATGGCGCCTTTGTTCACTTGCGCTTTCCTGACGGTATTTAGGGTTTCTGATTTATATAGCTCTTGAGTTTCATTAGGCCTTTGCATTTCACAAACCTTATTACCGTTGCCTTACATCTGATGCAGGAGTGTATTATCTCACTGGCCTAGTTCATGTCTCGGAGGTTTCCTGGGATTTAGTTCAAGATGTTAGAGACATCTTGACTGAGGGGGATGATGTTCGAGTGAAGGTTATTAATATTGATAGGTGAGTTTGCTCAGCTTCTAGTGTTAACTACATTATTGAACAAATATCCGGACGTAGGTATGAGAGAATATGACCTTTATGTATCTTCCAAATACATTGAAAAGCTTACAAAACAATTGAACATACCCGTATGGGGCACATACCTGATTATTCAAGGCTTTTCTTGTCCCTGTTTGTTGATCGAATGACATTTTCTTTAGTGCCACTTGAACCTAAATTTCATTGAGATTTTATGCAGGGCTAAATCAAGGATTACTCTATCAATCAAACAGTTGGAGGAAGATCCTCTGTTGGAAACATTGGACAAAGTGATTCCCCAGGTTTGTGATATGAAGTTGTGATCAATGATCTTCGATTCGGGTATCAATTTCAAATTCATTGAGATGAAGTAGAGAAGAAGTTTCATTGGTTAATAATGGTTTTAAACTTCTCAGGATGGTTCAGCTGATTTCGATTCCTTGACCGCTAGCAAGAATAGTACCATCGAACCGCTTCCGGGGCTTGACGTGATATTTAAAGAGCTTCTGCAGGAAGATGGGTATGGTTTCATTTCTTTATTTGGATTGCTACTTGATAAATAATGCAGATACTTAGTCTGCGACATCCATCTTCTGTTCCAGTATAAATGATGTACGGATTAGTCGACAAGGGTTCGAAAAACGGGTAGTCTCTCAAGATTTGCAGCTTTGGCTTTCAAATGTAAGTTGCTTGGACACATTTGTGTTCAACATTTGTATCTTCAAAAGCTTCAATTCTTTTTAGTATATATATTTAGAGGAGTATATCTCTTTGTCAATCATCCGGTTGCAGGCACCACCTAGTGACAATATGTTCACCCTCCTAGCTCGTGCAGGAAGACAAGTAATCCGTCGTTAATCCGTTGTATGATCTTTCAGTTCGTTCGCATTAATTTTTTCGCAATTCCATTGAATCTTATTTGTCATTCAGGTTCAGGAGATCCAACTGGCAACATCCCTTGATCAAGAAGATATCAAGAAGGCTTTACAACGAGTGCTGGAACGTGTTCCTTGATTCGATTTTTCGCTGCAACGCTGGTTTATCGTTTCTGGTTATCTATCCAGTTTTATGATTTCTTACTGGTTTTAAAGTTTATCTTGTACAAAAAGTTACAGGACTGGAGGACATACTCAAATCTATAAATGTTAATAGTTTATATCACATACATTTATCTAGGGACGGATGCATGAATTTATGCCAAATCACACAATATACAAGAACTATCAACAATAATCCCCATGCTAAACCACACAATATACAAGAACTATCAACAATAATTCCCATACGATTTAACCCGTCTTTGGTAGCAAGACGATTCAAAATAGCAAGCTAAGAAATAATTAAATGTTGGGGATTAATTTTGATGTTATAATTTTTTTAATAAACGTCAATTTTGCTGTAGTGTGGACTCGCTTCTAGAAACCTTTGCTGAAAATTCCAGTGAGGGAAATGAAGAAGAGATATTTTTCATTACTATTGACTTGGATATTTCTTGACAAAATAGAAGATCATTTAGGGGGTCATGTTGGATTTCCTTCAATGGAAGGGTGAAGGGTCCAACACGGCAGAAGCATTCTTTGTTGTTGTGAAGGGTCCAACACGGCAGAAGCATTCTTTGTTAGTGTCGAACAGATGAAGAGGTAAGAAATTTCTTTGAACCTTAATTTTTCTCCACCCAAATCCCAGTGGAGGCTATTTATTTACCGACTCAGAATGACCCAGCAAAACCACAATCGAAGGTGGGAGAAATCGTTGAGAGAGAATGGACGTTGGCTTGGTGTTTTGCTTCATCCTGCAGCTTCCATGGCTAATACCAGCAGCTAACTCTGATTGTTATGAAACATGCGGGAACGTTCAGATTCTATACCCATTCGGAATAACAAGAGGTTGCTATGCCTATAACAATCCCTGGTTTAGAGTAACTTGCAACGAAACCTCTAATGGCCGAAAGCCTTTCATCAGTCGCATCAATCTGGAGCTACTCGATTCGTTTTCGGCTAACGGGAATGGCGTCGTCTTTGTCAACAATCCGGTAACTTATCTAAATTGTGGGGATAAAAGAAACAATGGCAGCACCACTTCTCCTTCAAGTGTCAACCTACAAGGTTCTCCATTTTTCTTCTCCAGTAGATTCAATCGATTCGGGTCGGTAGGTTGCGGCAACTTCGCTGCTGTTTTTCGCAACAATCAAACTAATCCGATCTCTAGCTGCCTGCAGAAAAGCTGTGGCTACGTGGCTTCTAAGTTACATGGCTGCCATGCCAGGTTTTCTGAAAATATTACTTTCTATACAGCAAGCATGACGGAGGTCATTAGTGCTGCAGGGAGCAACAGCTGCATATCTGCTTTCATATTCAGCACTCAAAGTTCTCTTTACGCATCGTATTATTATTCAGACGGATTGGATCCTGTGTCCGGTCACTACAGATTACAACGATCGGATTCAGGACTTGAATTTCCTGATAATATCAGCATCGATACAACTCATGTTCGGGCAGCGTTGGAGTGGAATCCCTGCGATTTGGAAGGTCACAATTTACTATCATCACTTTACTAACATCCCTGCGATATAAATGAATTCATGCTTTTGTTCTTGCTATGCAGACGTTCTGTGCCAAGAATTAAAACGAGCTGAAAACCGACGTCAACTGGTTCAATCGCCAACTCTGCCTTTAACTTTCAAGTATGGATGTATTGAAAGATGCGGGAACATTAGTATTCCATTCCCATTTGGAATCGAAGTTGGCTGTTACATCAATCACTGGTTCAGAGTAACTTGCAACGAAACCATTGACGGGCCAAGGCTGTTCATAAGTAGGATCAATCTGCAATTACTGGATGTTTCCTTTTCCGAAGGCATAGTTGTCGTCAACAATTCGCTACCTTATTTCAATTGCCACCACCTAGGTCGAGAAACTGATGTGGTTGGTATCAACCTAACGGGCACCCCTTTTCTCTTCTCTGATGTCTTCAACATATTCGTGTCTGTAGGTTGCGGTAACTTGGCTACTTTTCATCGTAGTCCAACTGATTTTCCTTTTAGTTGGTGTGTTCAACCCCTTTGTCACGATATCGTGACCTTTGAAGATAGATGCTATGCGGACGTTCCTCCCGGTCACAGTTCTTTTGCTGCAAACATGATACAGATATCTCCTACTAATGGCGACAATAGATCATGTGAATCTGCTTTTATTGTCGACAAACGTTATTCTGATTCACTCAAGATGATATTTCCATTCCGCAACGACACGAGTAAATGGACTCAGGCACCCTTTCCCGTAACACTGGTATGGGGCACCCAAAAGCGCGGGCCTTGTGAGTTGAGAGAAGGTTCAAACATCTCATGTCGCTCTGATGGTGCATATTGTTGGACAAGCTTGAGTGAAATTCATCTATGTGTTTGCTCCTCAAATCCCTCTGATGATTCTGTTGATGTATGCCAAGGTACCTTTTCTTAGGCTTCAATTTTTAAGCAATAGCATGTACTATTTAGATCTAAGTTCAATATATTCTTTCATGAATGACAGAAACAGGAAAATGTCATGATTCAACATATAAGTACTGTCATATGTTCTGTTTGAATGCTCCCGGCATCGATTGTTTGTCATTGTGTCCGATCGGATATAAACACATCCAAGACACGTGCATGCCCATACATCCAAGTATCGAAACAGAATCAAATTCTCAAAATTCGCCGATCATCATAGGTTGCATAACTAGTTTTGGGACAGTATTTGTGCTACTTGGTACATGGCATTTGCATAAACTTCTAAAAAGAAGAAATGATATCAAGCTGAAGCAGAAATACTTTAAGAGGAACGGAGGTTTACTACTGCAACAACAATGGTCTGGCAATGAAAGTAATGTTGAGAAGATAAAGTTGTTTACTTCAAAAGAATTGGAGAAGGCAACAGATTACTATAACGAGAATCGAATTCTCGGTCGAGGCGGCCAAGGAATTGTTTACAAGGGAATGTTGATGAATGGTAGCATTGTGGCAATCAAAAAGTCTAAATCGGTGGAAGAGAAGATATTAGATGAAAGGAAGCTTGATCAGTTCATCAATGAGGTGATGATTTTATCAAAAATTAACCATAGAAACGTGGTTAAGCTTTTAGGATGTTGCCTAGAGACAAAAGTCCCTTTGTTGGTGTATGAATTCATCCCAAATGGGACACTCTATCATCTCATACATGAGCCAAATGAAGAGTTTCCATTGACATGGGAAATGCGTTTACGAATTGCAATTGAAATCGCAAATGCTCTGTCCTACTTACATTCAGCTGCTTCCGTCCCTATTTATCATCGAGACATCAAATCCAGCAACATACTTTTGGATGATAAATACAAAGCAAAAGTGTCGGATTTCGGAGCTTCGATATCGGTTGCACTCGAGCAAACTCATGTAACCACTCGAGTACAAGGGACTTTTGGATATCTGGATCCGGAGTATTTTCGATCAAGCAAATTTACAGAAAAGAGTGATGTATATAGTTTCGGAGTAGTTCTTGTTGAACTCGTGACAGGACAAAAACCCATCTCTTCAAGTGAATCAGATGAAGTGGTGAGAAGCTTGGTAAACTTTTTTCTGCACTCAATGGAGGAAGATTCTTTACTTGACATTATTGATCCGATGATAATGAAAGCTGATGAAGAAGAAGATATCATAGCGGTTGCTAAGCTAGCAAAGAGATGCTTGAATCTCAATGGAAAGAAAAGGCCAACAATGAAACAAGTGGCATTGGAGCTGGAGTTGATTAGATCATCAGAAGAAGCTAATGCAATTCAACAAACTGCAGATGAAGATTCTGATACAGACGACACGATCGAAGCTTCAGGTATTGCTTCCTGTTCAACGTCTGGTTCAATGATAAAAGATGGTATAACTTTGACATTAGATGCGTACCTTTAATTAGTTTGGAACTCTACTTGTTAAACGTTATTTCAGCTCATTCTTAATTTCAAGTTCCACTCCTTATGCAAGCTCTTGAATGCATATCTAAGACTAGTATGTCTGCCTATGACAGTGATCAATATAAATAAGAATGTAGATTTTTTGTACTTACTAGAGAAAAGATGCCACAATTGCAACATTATTTGGGTATATAATTGGTTATGTTGATACTTATACAGTAATTAAGTTCTTGTCGACATTAATTTTAAAAGTACAGGAGTTTAAGATATAATTTCAAATTCAATGAAACATTCAAACTCATCAAAAATCATTTCTTTACAAGTTTTCACTTCTTCCATGAAACCTCTTAAAGTATATTTATTCAACAATGATTGTTGATCGAATCCAAGTTTTGTCCAACTTTACTTACAACTGTATCACCACGAGCAATATCATGCACATGATCTTCATTATCAATGATGATTATATATTTTTCTCTTCATTGGTTAGAGTTATTTCTACGACTGTATTTTCATGCTCGACATATCATTCTTGAATGATGTCCTAAAAATCTTACGAACCAAGTAGACCATTCATTTCTATTCTCCAATTTTATAACTCACAAATTTTATTACAAGGATAACCATAAAATACAAGTGCAAGAGTTTTTACAATATACTAGATGGTGCTAGTTTACACAAACCCTTAAAACTTTACTAGCTTACTTGACTCAATTTTTCTAACACAATTACATTCAACTCATACATTACACCACACACATATATATATATATATATATATATATATATAGAGAGAGAGAGAGAGAGAGAGAGAGAGAGAGAGAGAACTTAACTAACTAGAACTATGCATCTAATGCCAAAGTTACACTACCATTTAGACCTGAACCAGAAGTTGAACATGAAGTGATACCCGAAGCTTGGTTAATGTCATCTATATCAGAATCTTCATCTGCACTTTGTTGAATGACATTAGGTTCTTCTGATGATCTAATCCATTCTAGCTCCAATGCAACTTGTCTCATTGTGGGTCTTTTCTTTCCATTAAGATTCAAGCATCTCTTTGCTAGCTTAGCAGTTGCTACAATCTTTTCTTTAGGACCATCATTCTTTACCATTGGATCTACAATGTCCAGTAAGGAATTCTCCCTCATTGATTGTAGAAAAAAGTTTACCAAGCTTCTCACCACTTCTTCTGATTGACTCGAAGAGATGGGTTTCTGTCCCGTTATAAGTTCAACAATAACGACTCCAAAACTATACACATCGCTCTTTTCTGTAAATTGGCTTGATCGAAAATACTCTGGATCTAAATATCCGAAAGTTCCTTGAACTCGAGTGGTTACATGAGTTTGTTCAAGTGCAACTGATCTTGAAGTTCCGAAATCAGACACTTTTGCTTTGTATTTATCATCCAAAAGTATGTTGCTAGATTTGATGTCTCGATGATAAATAGGGACGGAAGCAGCTGAATGTAAGTAGGACAAAGCATTTGCAACTTCAATTGCAATTCGTAATCGCATTTCCCACGTCAAAGGGAACTCTTCACTTGGCACATGTATGAGATGATAAAGTGTTCCGTTTGGGACAAACTCGTACACCAGCAAAGGGAGTTTTGTCTCAAGGCAACATCCTAAAAGCTTGACAACATTTCTATGGTTAACTTGTGATAAAATTATCACCTCATTGATGAATTGTTCAAGTTTCATTTCGTCATGTATCTTCTCGTCCCCCAAGCTGGGTTTTTTAATTGCCACAATACTTCCATCCGTTAACATTCCTTTGTAAACGATGCCTTGGCCGCCTCGACCAAGGATTCGGTTCTCGTTATAATAATCCGTCGCCTTTTCCAACTCACTTGAAGAAAACAATTTTAATTTTGCAACATTACCTTCATTGTTGGACAGTCGTTGTTGCAGTAGTAAGCCTCCGTTCCTTTTAAAGTACTTCTGCTTCTGCTTGATATCTTTTCTTCTTTCTAATCGTTTGTGCAAATGCCAAGTACCTAGTAGCACAAATATTGTCCCAATGCTTGCGCTGCAACCTGTGTAGTGTATGAGAAACATAATTTACTACAACAAAATGGAAAATTTGTACCTATAAGAAAGTGAATTATCATCTCTCGAGATGACTAATTGATAAAAAAAGGCAAATATAATGCGCACCTACGATGATCGGCAAATTATGTGATCTTTTACGTTCTTTTGCAACGATACTTGGACTAATGGGCTTGCACATATCTTCGATGTATTCATATCCAACCGGACATGACGATGAACAGTTGCTGTCTGGAGCATTGAAGCAAAGCATATGACAGTACTTATACTTTAAATCTTGACATTTACCTGATTCTGTCATTTACGAAATGAATGAAATAGAGTTAGATCCATATAATGCCTGTTGTTTGAGACTTGTGCCGGTACGATATATTGGAGAAATTATTTTATGATTCATGTTCATTACGCTATGTCGTTATTCATGGTAAATAAGGTTCATGTAATAATTGTTTTGATACCTTGGCATACATCATCAGAATCAACATAGGGATCCGTGGTGCAAACACATAGATGCGTTTGGCTTATGCTTGTCCAACAATATTCACCATCGGAGCGACAAAAGATGTTCGAGCCTTCTCTCAACTCACACAGCCCACGTATATGTGTTCCCCATTGAAGAGTTGTGGGAACGTGCAACAAAGTTCGGTTATTTGTTTCGTTTCCGTACGGGATCATCTTCTCTAGAGAATCTATGTAACGTTCGTCGACAATGAAAGCAGATCCGCAAGGCCTATCGTTGCCATGACTAGGATAGATCGTTGTCACGGTTACAGCAACGGAAGTAAGACCAGGAGGAATATCCGAGGAGCAACTCAATTTGGCAGCAACGTCAGTACCGCAACGGGATTGCAGACAATAACCATGATCAGGATTATCATCAGTCGAATTACTAAGAAAAGTAGCATATCCACAACCAAAAGACACGAATCTGTTGAAGACATCCGAGAATAGAAAGGGGGTGCCTGTTAGGTTGAGTCTAAACACATTAGTTTCTCGATCTTCATCGAGGCAATCAAAATAAGTGATTGGATTGTCGACGACAGCAACGCGTTCATAGAACGAAACCTCCAGTAACTGCAGATTGATGCTACTTATGAATGGCTTCGGCCCATCGATGGTTTTGTTGCAAGTTACTCTGAACGCGTTATTCATGTAACAGCCAACTTTAATTCCAAATGGAAATGGAATCTCAACATTCCCACATGTTTCAATACAGCCACCCTCGTAAGGTAAGGGAAGAGCCGGCGATTGAACCAATGGAGGCGTGTAACGTCGGCGTTCTGCTTGTTCTACTTCTTGGCACAGCTCGGCTTCATTGCAAGAAGAAAAACACCAAATACCTACTTAATAAATAATCATAAACTAAGAAATCAATAGCAAAGAGATGATTGTGAAAGGTTACCTTCCAAATCACATTTGATCGGATTCCACTCCAGAGTTGCAGGAACATGAGTCGTATGGATACTTATATTGTAGGGAAACAGAGGATCTAGATCCAATGATTTTAACCGGCTAGAATCGAACATGAAAGCAGATGTACATCTATTGGTCCCAGGACTAATGACCTCTATCATGCTTGCTGTATAGGAAGTGAGATTTTCTTTAATTAAGTCATGGCAGCCACCTAATTTAGTAGTCAGGTCACCACATCTTCGTTGTAGGCACGAGCCGAGGATCGGATCGGTTTGAATATTGCGAGAAACAAAGACTAAATTACCACAACCTACCGAACCGAATTCGTTAAATTTATTCGAGAAGAAGAAAGGAGTGCCGGTCAGGTTGACACTAACAGCAGAAGTGGTGCCATTGTTTCCTTTATCGCCGCAGTTTAGATAAGTTACGGGATTGTTGACCGAGATTACATTATCGTCCGGCCAAAATTTACCCAGTAGCTCCAGATTGATGCGACTGATGAAAGGCTTAAACCCATGCACGGTTTCATTGCAGGTTACACTAAACCAAGAACTGTTATAGCAACCAGGTTGGATTCCGAATGGGAAGGGAAGAGGAACATCCCCACATATCTCCTCACAAGTAGACGCTCGTGCTGCATTTGATGTTGCTGGTCGTATGAGCCATGGCAGGTGGAGGATGACGTAAAACACCATGCGGATGCCCATTCTCTCTTAACTTCTCTCAACGTGGTTTGTTATTGTAAAGTCGATAAATATATAGCCTGGAGTGGAGCAAACTCATGGTTCTAAGAAATTTCCTGCCGCTTTCCAGTTTAATTAAGTTATTGAAAATAAGCACGAACCAAACAAGTAAAAGAATTATTATTATTTATTGAGATATTAGGTTCATGCATCATGAATTCTATAAGTGTGACAATTCAATGTCAAATAGTTAGTTATCTATAAAATACTATCTTGTATTTACTCGAGGTTAATCAATATATATATATATATATATATATTTAAACCTTTAAATCAATATTCAACCTATACCCATGATTAAAAAAATTCAAATCAACAAAGAATGAACCAGAGTAGGGTTAAGGTCAACGAATTTCGGCCGTGTTGGATCCTTTCAACACAGGATTTTGTTTTTAGACATATAAAAGACACAATCTTTGGAATTCTATAACAGCACTGACGCAATTGACTTTAACTGTAAAATTTTAAATACAATATAAGAGTATGCTATGACATAAAAAATAATTAAAATAATTCTATTCAATATTAAAAAATAACAAGTTTACTTTTCAAGTTATAAAGACTCAAAAGGATTACATATCTTCCAAGTAATTCCCTCTCATAAATCTAGAAGTTAATACTTACTCCATATATCCATAAAGTCATATACTTTCCGAACCGATGGACAAGCTGATTCCCGGGTCCATTCGACAAGTCCGATCCGATTCCAGTAACATTGCATATAATAGAACCAAACGTTAGATAGGAAACAGTACTTGAAGCTTCGATTGTGTTATCTAGATCAGAATCTTCATCGCCACTTTCTTCAATGGCATTAGCTTCCTCTGACAATCTAATCCGTTCTAACTCCATTGCAACTTGTTTCATTGTAGGTCTCTTCTTTCGATTAAGATTCAAACATCTCTTTTTAGTGTAGCAAGCACTAAAATTTCTTCTTCTCGACCATCATTCATTACCAATGGATCAAGAATGTTGACAACGGAATTATCCTTCATTGAGAGTAGAAAAAAGTTTGCCAAGCTTGTCACTGCTTCCTCTGATTTACTTGAAGAGATGGGTTTTGTCCGGTTATAAGCTCAACAAGAACAACTCCGAACTATATATGTCACTCTTTTCCGTAAATCGACTTGATCTAAAATACTCTGGAGCCAAATATCCGAATGTTCCTTGCACTCGAGTGGTTACATGAGTCTGCTCTAGTGCAATTGATCTCGAAACTCCGAAATCCGATACCTTTGCTCTATATTTATCATCCAACAATATGTTGCTAGATTTGACGTCTCGATGATAGATTGGAAGAGAAGTAGCTGAATGTAGATAGGATAAAGCATTGACGACTTCAATTGAAATTCGTATACGCATTTCCCATGTCAATGGTAATTCTTCATTAGGCTCATGTATGAGATGAGAGAGTGATCCATTTGGGATGAACTCATACACTACCAAAGGGACTTCTGTCTCTAGACAACACCCTAAAAGCTTAACCACATTTCTATGGTTAATTTGTGATAAAAGTAACACCTCATTAATGAACTGTTGAAGCTCCTTCTCATCTAATTTATTCTTTTCCACCATTTTGGACTTTTTAATAGCCACAATCCTTCCCTCTATCAACATTCCTTTATAAACAGTTCCTTGACCATCTCGATCGAGAATTCGATTCTCGTTATAGTAATCCGTCGCCTTTTCCAACTCTTCCGAAGCAAAGATGTCCTTCATTGTTGGACAACTGTTGCTGGAGAAGCAAGCCTCCATCCTTTTAATGTGTTTTTGCTTCGACTTGATTTTCTTTCTTCTTTCTAGTACTTCAAAGTATTCTCTCCATTGATTATTTAGGGATTTAAACCCTAACCCAAAATCCCCCTTAAACTAGGTTTCACACTTTAGAATAGGGTAAATTACGTGTTTAATATCCAAACTATCACGTTATTTCATTTTGATCATCCAACTATATTTGTTTTCATAATCATACCTAATGTTATATTTTGGTTTCATTTTGATCACCCACTGTTAAAAATTTAACAAAATTGTTGGTGTGACAGGTTTTTTTATTTTTTCAATAATAATGTGGCATTATCTTATAATGACACATCGGCATCACCATTAATTGTTTCATGACAGATGATCAAAATGAAACTAAAACTAAACGTTAGACATAATTCTGAAAAATTATTTGACTGACCAAAACAAAACAAAAATGATATTTAATATATTAAACTTGTAGTTTACCCTTATATTCCGAGTTTTTGGGACACAGCCCCACCCACACACATGTTAATAAAGACGGTATTTTTTGAATTAGTAGTGACGGTTGTTGGAATAGTATGGGGAATAGCAAAATGTTGTAACCAAGGTTTTTAAAATATAAAAAATTGTCAGGAATCTTTGGGAAAAAACTATCAACTATCAACTTTCAAAATTTCATATAATTTATGTTTTTTTATATGTTAAGCAACTTTGTTGACTTTTGTTGGATGAGTGGGTGCAGCACGCCAGAAATTCATAGGCTCTGACCCTACTCGAGCACATGCTTTGTTGGCGTGAAAATTAATTAGTGGTAAACCAGGCCAAACCGCGAAAGAGCTAAGAAATTTCTTTGAACCGAAGATTAGATCCAGTCCAGGCTATATGTTTATTGACTTAGAATGACCAAGCAAAGGAATAAGAGAGAATGGGAGTTGGTTTTGTGCTAATTTACTTCATCCTGCACCTACCATGGCTGAACCGAGCAGCCACTTCTGATTGTAATGAATATTGTGGGGATGTTGAAATTCGATTTCCATTTGGAATCAAACGGGATTGCTATCACAATCCGTGATTCAGTGTAACTTGCAAAGAAACCGCTAACGGACCAAAGCCTTTCATTCGTAGCATTAATCTGGAGTTACTTGGTTCGCCTCTCTATGGCGACAACGCCATCATCGTCAACAGTCCAGTAACTTATCTAAAGTGTGGCCGTAAAGGAAACAATGGCACAAGGCTCTCCGTTTTTCTTTTCTAGTGGATTCAACCTATTCGGGTCAGTAGGTTGCGGAAATTTGGTCACTCTTTTTCGCAAAAATGCAACTACTCCAATCTCTCTAGCTGCCTGCAGGAAAGCTGTATCGGCCTGGCTTCTATGTTAGGTAGCTGCAATGCTACAATTTCTGGAAATTTCACATCCTATACAGCAAGCATGACTGAGATGATTAATCCCGGGAGCAATGGATGCACAACTGCTTTCCTATACAGCGAACAGCCATACCAAAGAGTGTATCCTGGGTCGAGTGGCGAGCAGTTACTCGACGGTATCAGCATCTACAGGACACATGTTCCAGCAGCGCTGGAGTGGAATCCATGTGATTCGGAAGGTCACCATTTACTAATAATCACTTCACTATTGATTTTCAATAATTTTACTTTAATCATTCTTATTAATTAATCAATCGGTGCTTTGTACTTCGTCTGTGTAGTCGCACTGTGCGATAAAATATTTATAGCGGAAGCACCTTGTTACATTCGTAGGGGCGATGATTGTGCTGAACGTTGTGGGAATGTTGATATCCCATACCCATTCGGAATAGGAGTCGGTTGTTACATGAATAAATGGTTTAGAGTAAGTTGCAAAGAAACTACTGTTGGTCCAAAGCCTTACATAACTGGCATCGGTCTGGAACTACTCAATGTTTCAATTTCGGAAGGTTCAGTTGTTGTCAACAATCCTGTTACTTACTCCAACTGCCTCAAAAGAGATGGACAGGCTAATGGCGTTAGTATCAACCTTACAGACACCCCCTTTTCCTTCTCAGCTTTCTACAACAGATTCATGTCTGTAGGTTGCGGTGGTTTGGCTACTTTTCTTGTAAGACCAACAGATGAATATCCTGTTGGTGCCTGCATGCAACCCATTTGTGATGATGAGACTTCTGACTCTTGCTGCACATCGGATATTTCTTGGGATATAAGATCCTTTGTGGTAAACATGAAAGAGATTTATGCTCATAACGCCGGCGGTAAATCGTGTAGATCTGCTTTCATGGCTGACCAGCGTTATCTTGAAATAACAAAACACCGGAATGTGGCTAGTAATTGGACGATGATGCACGCTCCCGTTACACTACAATGGGGCACGCAAGTACGCGGACTGTGTGATTGCAGGGATGATAAAGCGTTCTTAACCCTCAATGGTGAATACCGTTGGACAAACTTGAGCAAAAACTATCTTTGTGTTTGCACCTCTAATGCCTACGAATACATCTCTGCTGACGCATGCCAAGGTATATCGTATCAATTCAATTGCTTTATCATCTTTTCCATATGTTATTCAGTACATTTCTGGCTTCGCCCTAGTGCATTTTCATGACAATACTATAACATGTTGCATGGGGAAGTCTCTGTACAAAAGAAAAGAAAATATAAACTTTTTATTTGCTTTGATGTTTGATCAAACTTTATTTTATTCATTTCATAAATTATTACAGATCAATTAGATATATGTACCAAGGATTATAGGTACAGTTTTATGCTCTGTTTGAATGCATTTGGCAACAAGTGTTCATTATCATGTCCAGAAGGATATCAAGACTCGGGAGTTATGTGCAAGCCACTGACAAGGAAGTACAAAAAATCTCAGTATATGCCAATCGTTATAGGTGCGTGTTAACTTTTTGTCTTGCAGGATTAATTGCTTCATTAAACTTATGATATATATTAAGATTGCAATACTTTTACCACATTAAACTATACAGGTTGCAGCACAAGTTTGGGGACACTATTTGCGCTCATTGGTACATGGCATTTGCTAAAAGTATATGAAAGAAGAAAAAGCATCAAGTTGAAGCAAAAACACTTTAAAAGGAATGGGGGCTTACTTCTGCAACAACAATCGTCCACCAATGTTGAGAACGTGAGGCTATTTACTTCAAAAGAGTTAGAAAAGGCAACTGATTTCTTTAATGAGAATCGAATCCTTGGACATGGCGGTC